CAGCGTATGAGCGGGCGGTGCAGCGTATGAGCGGGCGGTGCAGTGTATGAGTGGGCGGTCCAGCTTATGAGCGGGCGGTGCAGCGTATGTGCGGGCGGTGCAGCGTATGAGCGGGCGGTGCAGCGTACGAGCAGGCAGTGCAGCGTATGAGCGGGCGGTGCAGCGTACGAGCAGGCGGTGCAGCGAGCGGGCGGTAAAGCGTATGAGCGGGCGGTGCAGCGTACGAGAGGGCGGTGCAGCGTACGAGCGGGCGGTGCAGCGTATGTGCGGGCGGTGCAGCGTATGAAAGGGCGGTGCAGCGTACGAGCGGGCGGTGCAGCGTATGAGCGGGCGGTGCAGCGTATGAGCGGTGCGGTGCAGCGTATGAGGGTGCGGTGTATTGTATGAGCGGGCGGTGCAGCGTATGAGCGGGCGGTGCAGCGTACGAGCGGGCGGTGCAGCGTATGAGCGGGCAGAGCAGCGTATGAGCGGGCGGTGCAGCGTATGAGCGAGCGGTGCAGCGTATGAGTGGGCGGTCCAGCTTATGAGCGGGCGGTGCAGCGTATGAGCGGGCGGTGCAGCGTATGTGCTGGCGGTGCAGCGTATGAGCGGGCGGTGCAGCGTACGAGCGGGCAGTGCAGCGTATGAGCGGGCGGTGCAGCGTACGAGCGGGCGGTGCAGCGTATGAGCGGGCGGTGCAGCGTACGAGCAGGCGGTGCAGCGTATGAGTGGGCGGTGCAGCGTACGAGCGGGCGGTGCAGCGTATGTGCGGGCGGTGCAGCGTATGAGAGGGTGGTGCAGCGTACGAGCGGGCGGTGCAGCGTATGAGCGGTGCGGTGCAGCGTATGAGCAGGCGGTGCAGCGTATGAGCGGGCGGTCCAGCGTATGAGCGGGCGGTGCAGCGTATGAGCGGGCGGTGCAGCGTATGAGCGGGCGGTGCAGCGTATGAGCGGGCGGTGCAGCGTACGAGCGGGCAGTGCAGCGTATGAGCGGGCGGTGCAGCGTACGAGCGGGTGGTGCTGCGAGCGGGCGGTAAAGCGTATGAGCGGGCGGTGCAGCGTACGAGCGGGCGGTGCAGCGTACGAGAGGGCGGTGCAGCGTACGAGCGGGCGGTGCAGCGTACGAGCGGGCGGTGCAGCGTATGTGCGGGCGGTGCAGCGTATGAAAGGGCGGTGCAGCGTACGAGCGGGCGGTGCAGCGTATGAGCGGGCGGTGCAGCGTATGAGCGGTGCGGTGCAGCGTATGAGGGTGCGGTGCATTGTATGAGCGGGCGGTGCAGCGTATGAGCGGGCGGTGCAGTGTACGAGCGGGCGGTGCAGCGTATGAGCGGGCGGTGCAGCGTACGAGCGGGCGGTGCAGCGTACGAGCGTGCGGTGCAGCACGGTGCAGCGTATGAGGGTGGGGTGCATTGTATGAGCGGGCGGTCAAGCGTATGAGCGGGCGGAGCAGCGTATGAGCGGGCGGTGCAGCGTATGAGCGGGCGGTGCAGCGTATGAGCGGGCGGTGCAGCGTACGAGCGTGCGGTGCAGCGTATGAGTGGGCGGTGCAGCGTATGAGCGGGCGGTGCAGCGTATGAGCGGGCGGTGCAGCGTATGAGCGGGCGGTGCAGCGTATCAGCGGGCGGTGCAGCGTATGAGCGGGCGGTGCAGCGTATTTGCTGGCAGTGCAACGTATGAGCGGGCGGTGCAGCGTACGAGCGGGCGGTGCAGCGTATGAGTGGGCGGTGCAGCGTACGAGCAGGCGGTGCAGCGTATGAGCGGGCGGTGCAGCGTACGAGCGGGCGGTGCAGCGTATGTGCGGGCGGTGCAGCGTATGAGAGGGCGGTGCAGCGTACGAGCGGGCGGTGCAGCGTATGAGCGGTGCGGTGCATTGTATGAGCGGGCGGTCCAGCGTATGAGCGGGCGGAGCAGCGTATGAGCGGGCGGTGCAGCGTATGAGCGGGGGGTGCAGCGTATGAGCGGGCGGTGCAGCGTATGAGCGGGCGGTGCAGTGTATGAGTGGGCGGTCCAGCTTATGAGCGGGCGGTGCAGCGTATGTGCGGGCGGTGCAGCGTATGAGCGGGCGGTGCAGCGTATGAGCGGGCAGTGCAGCGTATGAGCGGGCGGTGCAGCGTACGAGCGGGCGGTGCAGCGAGCGGGCGGTAAAGCGTATGAGCGGGCGGTGCAGCGTACGAGAGGGCGGTGCAGCGTACGAGCGGGCGGTGCAGCGTATGTGCGGGCGGTGCAGCGTATGAAAGGGCGGTGCAGCGTACGAGCGGGCGGTGCAGCGTATGAGCGGGCGGTGCAGCGTATGAGCGGTGCGGTGCAGCGTATGAGGGTGCGGTGCATTGTATGAGCGGGCGGTGCAGCGTATGAGCGGGCGGTGCAGCGTACGAGCGGGCGGTGCAGCGTATGAGCGGGCAGAGCAGCGTATGAGCGGGCGGTGCAGCGTATGAGCGAGCGGTGCAGCGTATGAGTGGGCGGTCCAGCTTATGAGCGGGCGGTGCAGCGTATGAGCGGGCGGTGCAGCGTATGAGCGGTGCGGTGCAGCGTATGAGGGTGCGGTGCATTGTATGAGCGGGCGGTGCAGCGTATGAGCGGGCGGTGCAGCGTACGAGCGGGCGGTGCAGCGTATGAGCGGGCGGTGCAGCGTATGAGCGGGCGGTGCAGCGTACGAGCGTGCGGTGCAGCACGGTGCAGCGTATGAGGGTGCGGTGCATTGTATGAGCGGGCGGTCAAGCGTATGAGCGGGCGGAGCAGCGTATGAGCGGGCGGTGCAGCGTATGAGCGGGCGGTGCAGCGTATGAGCGGGCGGTGCAGCGTACGAGCGTGCGGTGCAGCGTATGAGTGGGCGGTGCAGCGTATGAGCGGGCGGTGCAGCGTATGAGCAGGCGGTGCAGCGTATGAGCGGGCGGTGCAGCGTATGAGCGGGCGGTGCAGCGTATGAGCGGGCGGTGCAGCGTATGTGCTGGCAGTGCAGCGTATGAGCGGGCGGTGCAGCGTACGAGCGGGCGGTGCAGCGTATGAGTGGGCGGTGCAGCGTACGAGCAGGCGGTGCAGCGTATGAGCGGGCGGTGCAGCGTACGAGCGGGCGGTGCAGCGTATGTGCGGGCGGTGCAGCGTATGAGAGGGCGGTGCAGCGTACGAGCGGGCGGTGCAGCGTATGAGCGGTGCGGTGCAGCGTATGAGCGGGCGGTCCAGCGTATGAGCGGGCGGTGCAGCGTATGAGCGGGCGGTGCAGCGTATGAGCGGGGGGTGCAGCGTATGAGCGGGCGGTGCAGCGTATGAGCGGGCGGTGCAGTGTATGAGTGGGCGGTCCAGCTTATGAGCGGGCGGTGCAGTGTATGAGTGGGCGGTCCAGCTTATGAGCGGGCGGTGCAGCGTATGTGCGGGCGGTGCAGCGTATGAGCGGGCGGTGCAGCGTACGAGCAGGCAGTGCAGCGTATGAGCGGGCGGTGCAGCGTACGAGCGGGCGGTGCAGTGAGCGGGCGGTAAAGCGTATGAGCGGGCGGTGCAGCGTACGAGAGGGCGGTGCAGCGTACGAGCGGGCGGTGCAGCGTATGTGCGGGCGGTGCAGCGTATGAAAGGGCGGTGCAGCGTACGAGCGGGCGGTGCAGCGTATGAGCGGGCGGTGCAGCGTATGAGCGGTGCGGTGCAGCGTATGAGGGTGCGGTGCATTGTATGAGCGGGCGGTGCAGCGTATGAGCGGGCGGTGCAGCGTACGAGCGGGCGGTGCAGCGTATGAGCGGGCAGAGCAGCGTATGAGCGGGCGGTGCAGCGTATGAGCGAGCGGTGCAGCGTATGAGTGGGCGGTCCAGCTTATGAGCGGGCGGTGCAGCGTATGAGCGGGCGGTGCAGCGTATGTGCTGGCGGTGCAGCGTATGAGCGGGCGGTGCAGCGTACGAGCGGGCAGTGCAGCGTATGAGCGGGCGGTGCAGCGTACGAGCGGGCGGTGCAGCGTATGAGCGGGCGGTGCAGCGTACGAGCAGGCGGTGCAGCGTATGAGTGGGCGGTGCAGCGTACGAGCGGGCGGTGCAGCGTATGTGCGGGCGGTGCAGCGTATGAGAGGGTGGTGCAGCGTACGAGCGGGCGGTGCAGCGTATGAGCGGTGCGGTGCAGCGTATGAGCGGGCGGTCCAGCGTATGAGCGGGCGGTGCAGCGTATGAGCGGGCGGTGCAGCGTATGAGCGGGCGGTGCAGCGTATGAGCGGGCGGTGCAGCGTACGAGCGGGCAGTGCAGCGTATGAGCGGGCGGTGCATCGTACGAGCGGGCGGTGCTGCGAGCGGGCGGTAAAGCGTATGAGCGGGCGGTGCAGCGTACGAGATGCAGCGTACGAGCGGGCGGTGCAGCGTACGAGCGGGCGGTGCAGCGTATGTGCGGGCGGTGCAGCGTATGAAAGGGCGGTGCAGCGTACGAGCGGGCGGTGCAGCGTATGAGCGGGCGGTGCAGCGTATGAGCGGTGCGGTGCAGCGTATGAGGGTGCGGTGCATTGTATGAGCGGGCGGTGCAGCGTATGAGCGGGCGGTGCAGCGTACGAGCGGGCGGTGCAGCGTATGAGCGGGCGGTGCAGCGTACGAGCGGGCGGTGCAGCGTACGAGCGTGCGGTGCAGCATGGTGCAGCGTATGAGGGTGCGGTGCATTGTATGAGCGGGCGGTCAAGCGTATGAGCGGGCGGAGCAGCGTATGAGCGGGCGGTGCAGCGTATGAGCGGGCGGTGCAGCGTATGAGCGGGCGGTGCAGCGTACGAGCGTGCGGTGCAGCGTATGAGTGGGCGGTGCAGCGTATGAGCGGGCGGTGCAGCGTATGAGCGGGCGGTGCAGCGTATGAGCGGGCGGTGCAGCGTATGAGCGTTCGGTGCAGCGTATGAGCGTGCAGTGGTGCCTTTCCTTGGAGTCCCTTGATTCTTTGCCGTGGAGTCTCTTCCAAATCGCCCCTTGATTCTTTGCCGTGGAGTCTCTTCCAAATCCTCCCTTGATTCTTTGTGTGTGTGCTCCCACTCTCTCTCCCTGGCGCCCTGTGTGCATGTGCCTCGCTGCCTTCCAGGTGAAGGCATTCAGCAGTCTCCTGGTACCCTTTCTGGGCATCCCAGCCACCGCTCTTAACCTCGCTGTTATCCCCAACCGACACGCCGATGTCAACTTGCTTATCCACGTGGATGTCCTATATCAGGTAGGTACTGTATGAGACCCCTTATCACCGCATTGTTCTCCCTCGCATGGTCCCATCCCTTCCCAAACGACACGCCGATGTCAACCTGCTCGTCCACGTGGAGTGGATGTCCTGTACCAGGTCCAGGTTGGTAGGTACCCGTCCACGTGGACACTCTGTAACAGGTAGGTACCGTATTGTGAATCTAATCATGGGTTTTGAGTTCACTCAAATGTCTGCTGTGCCCCTGCTCTGTGGATCGAGCTGTGCTGTCTCTCACTGCTCTGCCTCTTACTGCAACCTTCACAACCCCTTCTTCCCCTTTCCCTTTCCCCTCTCCTGCCGACCCCGCTTACCGCCCCGTCCGTTTCCATCTCCTTTTCAAAACCCACCATCCAGGCAGTGTAAGGAGATGGAAACGGATGGGGCGTGTGGTCGCACCGCCATGTGGGGGGAGCTGCGCCGCCGCTTCCTGCTGCCCCCTTACTGTCTTCTTTACAGAACCCCTGCTCCCCCGGTCCCTTCCTTCCCTTCTCCCCCACCCCCCACCCCAGCCAGTGTACCAGGCGTGTGGTCGCTCCGCCCCTGCCATGTGGGGGGAGCTGCGCCGCCGCTTCCTGCTACCCCCCGCCGGCCTGCCCCTCTTCCGCCCAGGCCTTGTCCCCCGCCACAACCACACCCACGCCCTCCCACCTACTGCTGATTCACCAGCCACCACCACCCCCACCAGTGCTGGCAGCAGCAGCAGCAGCAGCAGCAGCAGCAGCAGCAGCAGCAGTGAAACACTCCCTGTGAGGGCTGGCGTCATCAGCGAGAGCAGCAATGAGATCAGCAGCGAGGAGGACGTGCCGCTGTGGTCTGACGCTCAGACCGCCCGGCTGCCGTACAGCTGGCGCGCCGTGATTGCGCACCGGCGCGGCGCAATGCGCCACCTGGCGGCGTTTGATTCGCTGGTTTCGGAGATGAAGCGAGTGTTCCCACCGCAGCGGGTGTTTGTTTTTGAAGGCGACCTGCCCATCCTGCAAGGTGCGTGCGGTGTGATGGAGTGCAAGGTGCTGATCTGCAATGTGGGCCTAAATTTCTACCTGCCACCGTTGCACACTGTCTTCTTGCCACAACGGGTGGTTGTGTTGGAAGGCGACCTGCCCATGCCGCAAGGTGCGTCGTTAGGAGTGTGCTTTGAGATGATGTGGGTGGGCTATGCCGCAAGGTGCTTTGATATGATGTGGGTGGGCTATGCCGCAAGGTGCTTTGATATGATGTGGGTGGGCTATGCTGCAAGGTGCTTTGATATGATGTGGGTGGGCTATGCCGCAAGGTGCTTTGATATGATGTGGGTGGGCTATGCCGCAAGGTGCTTTGATATGATGTGGGTGGGCTATGCTGCAAGGTGCTTTGATATGATGTGGGTGGGCTATGCTGCAAGGTGCTTTGATATGATGTGGGTGGGCTGTGCTGCAAGGTGCTTTGATATGATGTGGGTGGGCTATGCTGCAAGGTGCTTTGATATGATGTGGGTGGGCTATGCCACAAGGTGCTTTGATATGATGTGGGTGGGCTATGCCGCAAGGTGCTTTGATATGATGTGGGTGGGCTATGCCGCAAGGTGCTTTGATATGATGTGGGTGGGCTATGCCGCAAGGTGCTTTGATATGATGTGGGTGGGCTATGCCGCAAGGTGCTTTGATATGATGTGGGTGGGCTATGCCGCAAGGTGCTTTGATATGATGTGGGTGGGCTATGCCGCAAGGTGCTTTGAGATGATGTGGGTGGGCTATGCCGCAAGGTGCTTTGATATGATGTGGGTGGGCTATGCCGCAAGGTGCTTTGATATGATGTGGGTGGGCTATGCCGCAAGGTGCTTTGATATGATGTGGGTGGGCTATGCCGCAAGGTGCTTTGATATGATGTGGGTGGGCTATGCCGCAAGGTGCTTTGAGATGATGTGGGTGGGCTATGCCGCAAGGTGCTTTGATATGATGTGGGTGGGCTATGCCGCAAGGTGCTTTGATATGATGTGGGTGGGCTATGCCGCAAGGTGCTTTGATATGATGTGGGTGGGCTATGCCGCAAGGTGCTTTGATATGATGTGGGTGGGCTATGCCGCAAGGTGCTTTGAGATGATGTGGGTGGGCTATGCCGCAAGGTGCTTTGAGATGATGTGGGTGGGCTATGCCGCAAGGTGCTTTGATATGATGTGGGTGGGCTATGCCGCAAGGTGCTTTGATATGATGTGGGTGGGCTATGCCGCAAGGTGCTTTGATATGAGGTGGGTGGGCTATGCCGCAAGGTGCTTTGATATGATGTGGGTGGGCTATGCCGCAAGGTGCTTTGATATGATGTGGGTGGGCTATGCCGCAAGCTCCTACCTGCAAGGTGATATCTTATAGGTCGTCATAGTCCCTACCTGCCACCTCTCATCGTGACCTTCTTGCCCTCCAATTCCCCCTCCCACCTGTACCCCCACCCGTAACTCTCTCTCTCCCTTTCCTCCCCCCAGCCAAACTCCTCTTCAACAGAGCAGCAGTCTATGTGGGCTTGCACGCACCAGGCCTGTCACACATGATCTCCATGCCCTCTAATTACCTCTCTCTGCCTCACTGCCTCTCTCTTCTCATTCTACCTTTCCCCCCCTCTTGTACCAGCCAAGCTCCTCTTCAATCGAGCTGCGGTCTATGTGGGTCTGCATGGAGCGGGTCTCTCCAACATGATCTTCATGCCCTCCAATTCCTCTCCTCCCCATGCTTCCCAAAATGCCTTCTCGTGATTGTCTTCTCTCCCTCTCCTCCTCCAGCCAAACTCCTTTTCAACCGAGCAGCGGTCTATGTGGGGCTGCACGGAGCAGGACTCTCAAACATGATTTTCATGCCCTCCAATTCCTCCGTCTTTGAAATCCGACCTAGGGATTACCCCAACCCCTGCTACCACCACCTAACCATGGCTACGCAACAGAACTACTACCTGGTTTTTGGAAATGGGACCAAGGATTCGGAGCTGAGGTATAACATGAGTGAGGTCGCGAGTGTTTTGAGGGTGATAGCGGATCAGACTAAAAGGAGGGTGTCGGCAAGGTCCTGGGAAGCTGAGGAAGTAGGTTCAGCTTTAGATGAGCTGAAAGAGAGTGATTATATGGATGTTATTCTAGATAGTGACAAAAGTAGGAACCAAGATCCAACTTAGTACAAGCTCAATTGATATTTGTGCATTTCAGTCAATCAAAATGATGTGAAACATTTTTTTGCTGCCTTCCACTCACCAAGTTTGGTTGTGAGTTGTACGGTAACTTCAATTTACAGCACACATCCCCTGCATGGCTCGCTGAATTCCTACATTATAAGCATATTGCCTCCATTTCCTGAAGTAAGCATTCCTTTCCCAAACCCTGTATTTCAAGCATCCTCTTTACAATTGATGCAAGCATTTACTGCTTCCTAATCCCGATCCAACCGGTATGCTCGCCCCCTGAACACAGCACCACCAGAGCCACCACCCACCCCTGCTGCTGCTCCTGCTGCTGCCCCTCCTGCTGCTCCTCCTCCCCCTCCCCCTGCTACAGGGCCGTGAGCAGGAGTGGGCCGCGGGGGTGCCTGGGGCTGCACCATGTTGGGGGCTACAGCCGCCCACTGTGCTACAAGCCGATGGCTGGAGGATGAAGGGGATGGGGGTGTGGAGGGTGAGGAGGGAAGGGGTGAGTGGGAAGTTCTGTTGCACACACGAGCAACAGTGCCTGCCTGGGGCTGCACCATGTTGGGCGCTACAGCCGCCCACTGGGTTACAAGCCGATGGCTGGAGGGTGGGGGCAAGCGGGACATGTGGGGAGGTTGGAAAAGGAGAGGGTGAGTGGGACGTTGAATGCACCCAGAGAGGCGTTCTTATGAGCTGTGGCTCGAGAATGAGCTTTACACGGCCGTGAGGAAGTAGTGGGTGTGACCTCTGGGCTTTCCTTTCTAAATACGCCTTGATAAGGAGAGATGAGGAGGAGACAAAAGACTTACACCCAGAGGGGAGTGCGGATGAGCTGAGCTGAGCCCCCCAGAGGGTGAGTGGGACGTTGAATGCACCCAGAGAGGCGTTCTTATGAGCTGTGGCTCGAGAATGAGCTTTACACGGCCGTGAGGAAGTAGTAGATGTGACCTCTGTGCTCAGATGTTGAGAAGAAAGGAGGCGACGACTTACACCCAGAGTTGAGCGCGGATGAGTTGTGCGCCCCCTGTGCGCGGATACACAGCCGTGAGGAAGTAGTATATGTGATCTTTGACACACCTCAGAGAAAAAACGGAAGAAGGAACTTACACCCAGAGTGGTGTGCGGATGAGCTGAGCACCCCCTGTGCGCGGATACACAGCGGTGAGGAAGTAGTAGATGTGACCCGCCACAATGCCGGCCAGAGAATCAACCACGCTCATTCCAAAGAGCAGATCCATGAAGAGATACGCCCACGGCAGGTAGAAGGCCTGTGACGGGAGAGGGGGGAGAGGAGGGGGCAGAGGGGATGGTGGTGAAAGAGATATTGCAGAGCAAGAGAGTCAACACCGCTCACTCCAAAGAGCAGATCCATTGAGAGATACGCCCACGGCAGGTAGAAGGCCTGTGACGGGAGAGGGGGGAGAGGAGGGGGCAGAGGGGATGGTGGTGAAAGAGATATTGCAGAGCAAGAGAGTCAACACCGCTCACTCCAAAGAGCAGATCCATTGAGAGATACGCCCACGGCAGGTAGAAGGCCTGTTGGTGGTAAGGGAGGGGGGGGGAGCGGAGAGGAGAGGAGACAAGATGAGAGAGGAGAGGAGAGGAGAGGAGAGGAGAGGAGAGGAGAGGAGAGGAGAGGAGAGGATTATGGGGAAATAAATATCACACGAGAGAGTCAGCGGTGCTCATTCCAAAGAGCAGGTCCATGAAGAGATGCGCTCAGGGCAGGTAAAGAGCAGGCAAAGCTGAGGAGGAGACTCGCTGGCATGGATAGAAGACCCATGAAGTTGACAACACCTTTGGATATCTCTCGGCTCCACAGGAGAAGATGTTCACGAAAGAAGAAGGAAGAGGAATACAAAGGGCGTAGAACTCAGAAGAGAACTTACGGGCACGGATAGAAGGCCCATGAAGTTGACAACACCGTTGGGATTCTCCCGACTCCACAGGTAGATGACTGAGAGGAGCAGCGGCTCGCTAAGGAAGAAGCACTTAAAGGGGATGAACAGGAAGAGGAATACAAGGGGCAGAGAGCTAAGGAGGGGAATTACGGGCATGGATAGAAGACCCATGAAGTTGACGACGCCGTTGGGATTCTCCCGGCTCCACAAGTAGATGACCGAGAGGAGCAGCGGCTCACTAAGGAAGAAGATCTTAAAGGGGATGATGAGAGCGATGAGCAGCAAGCTGAGCGTGTTGATCATGAGCATGTAGAGAAAGTCCGCTGTTCTTCCAGCGAAAGCTGACGTCTCCATCTGTACACAGTAGCGGGCTCTGCAATAATGAGGATGACAGTTTAAGAGCCAGAAAAAGATGTAACGTATGAGACTTTGGTTTGCGCTTTCTGATCATGTGAAACGAAATGAGCAAGAGAACGAGCAGGTGATAAGGTGCAGTGGTCGAGCGTGGAGAGGGAGTATGAAGGGGCATGGAGATGAGGATAATGGACAGCAGGAGGATAATAGGAGGTTGAAGGAAAGCTGGGGAAAGAATGAGGAAGGAAAAAGGGGGGAGGGGAGGAACATAAGCTAGAGAAAAGGGGGGAGTCGTCGTACATCATAAGGAGAGTGAAGGCGAATCTCATGCTGAATCCTCCTGCAAAGAAGATGTTTGTAACGAGACGCCATATCTGAACGTCACAAGACAAGCATGCATATATGAAGGATGCACGCACACACACAGTTCACGAAAGGGCGTGTCAGAAAATGAGGTAACCTAGTAAAATTCCTGTTATGTATGGTCAATCATGAACATATATGCCAATCTACGCATGGGAAAATAGCAATCTCCATGCAAAGAAACAGAGAACGGAGCAACGGTAGGAACGGGGGATAGAACCTGGAATTTCTGGAATATGGAGGTGTAGTCGAGGAAGATGAGCTGCACTGGCAGCACTTTGAGCTGCATGGCACATGCCGTGGCGAATAGCGCCGTTCCCCATGCCTTGCTCACTGGCGGCAGGGAGTTGTACCACCTGAAGACGTACGCAAAGAAGGGTTGAGATCATTGCACTTAAAAGCGAATAGAGCCGTTCCCCATGCCTTTCTGACTGGCGGCAGGGAGTTGTACCACCTGAGACATGTGCGAGGGAGGGGATGAGACTGATTGTATCGTTTAAGGTGGCGCAGAAAGGGATTTGTACCACCTGTAGACGTATTTTTATTGTTTATTGTGGCGAGATTATTGCAGCACCCGTGAGAGATACCACGCAGGACACTTAATACGAACGCTACCACTCGGCAGTTGAAGGAGTAAACGACAGGCGTTAACGACAGGCCTGGCGGATAGATGATTCGCCCACAGATGGATGCGAAGCTTACTCTGCGGGACTCGCTGCTGCCATGACGACAGAATTTCCACGATCTTGACGATTCTGATGGTCTCGGTGATTCTGACGGTCCTGGCAATCACGCGCGAACGTGTCTAAGCTTCCAACCTAGAAAAACGTTCTCGACAACTTCTGTGCTTAAAAAATGATATGCAAACCGGATCTGCGCACTCCCAGAAAAGGCTTTCCGCGATACCGAATTTGGACCTAGGCTGGCCTCGGTTTAGTCTGCAGTGTTCAAGATGCAGCGTAGCGCGATTATGGTGTTTCTCGGTATTCTTCAGGGAGAATTGAGATTCTAGAACGTCTGCTGAAATGGAGAAGCTTTGTGCTGAGGAAGTTGCTCGTGGCGAAAGAAGAGATTTCCAGAGCAAAATCGCGAGTGCTTATTCTGGAGTTCGAACGAGTCGTCAATGGTCGCCAATCTTCCACGTTACAGCAATTTGGGGTTGGCTACCAGCAACAGACCAGTCCTACGATTTTCATTTTCGCATCTTATAAAACGGCCGGAAACGGTTCAGAACGTTTGCGTGCAATATAGAGCGCTTCAATTGAGCTCTTCCCGAGCCTTTTCACTGCACTGAACTGAATCTGACGATCACTGGTACTCCAACACAGCTATTCAGCTATTCAGATCCGGAAACGATCAAAAAGGGGCCCCAGAGTAGCAGTAAAGTGGCCGAATTGGGGCCTCGTGAGTCGCGCCCCTACTACGTACCCCCGAAGCAACCAACACACCTGGGCAGTTAGGCCGAGCCTGGCCTTCTCGCCAGGTCACCACCTACTGGCCTGGGGTTGACGGAATTCGCTAGTGACTCGTCATCGTAAATTACCCAGAAAAACAATCATTTTAACCCAGAAACAACAACAACGCAATGGCACAAAAAATAAACCCCATTCGGATGGCATATAATTGGGGAAGCATCAACCCTAAATACCGTGCGGCAAGATGTTTAGGGCTAAGGCCCCTTCGAAGGCATGACGCACGAGAGGAAAATTCGGATTTTTTAGATGTCGAGTCAATTTTTTCGTTCGTCAAGGAGGAATTCGTCACCTTGTGTGGTCAGGTCTGACGGAGCGCGTGGATAAGGCTAGAAATTGGTTGGGCACAGGTCCGGCCTAGGCTCGACTCCTTGGGAAACACGAGGCCCCAAGTTGGCGACTTTTCTAGAGCTCTGGGGCCCCAATCTGATCATTTCCCATTCAGACTACCAGGGAATTCCGTTTTCTTGCCTCGTCTCCCCGATTCTTTAGCTCATTGCTGAACGAGCACAAGGTCACGATCCCCTCGAAGTCCCTCTTGTCGATTTTTCCGGCGAAAAGAGCGTTGTTCTATATGGTGGACAAGCGCAAGGGTTCTCAGAAACAAGCTGCATCGCAAGCTGCCATGGCGACTCGATCCAAGTCGACGGTAGTTAAGCTGCTCGCGATTTTAGCGCTGTGGATCGCCGTCATTGGCGGGTTACAATTTCTTCGCACGTCTTGCAATATTTTCGCGAGTTCGCGGAGTCCCTCATCCTCCGATCCTCCCGCTGGGTTTTCCAATTCCACGAGAATACCGAAGCGCCTGTTTATTAACTACGCACACAATTGCTGCCACGTGGGCCAGCGGACTTCGTGTCAGGCCGCGTTACAGCACGGAGCGGATCGCTGCATTGAATACAATCAGACCTCGTTGGATCCCGATTTCACCTCTCGAAACAAAAAGATCTTATCTCTTCCTCGTGGCGTCGGACACTGGGTGTGGAAACCGTACCTTATACTGAAGACGCTTCTAGAGGAAATGGAGGATGGAGATTTGCTACTCTACGCAGACGCGGATAGCACCACGAACGGCGACCTATCCGCGTTATACGGCCTTGCAGCTGGTGACGGGGAAAGCTATGCTTCTGGTGGGAAAGTGGACGGGCTTGTATCGAGGATGGCGTTGGTCGAAGGGGATGACTCAGACGGCGCCGTTAACAATATCATTAAATGGTCTTTTAGTAAGCAGGAGGTTCATTTATTTCAATTCCCGGCCAATTTCCCGGAAGCATGCTGGACTAAGATGGACGCTTTTCTTCTGCTCAACTGCACTGATGAAAACATCTGCATGAAATCCGCCCAGGTGAGCTTATAACGGTTACTGGTTGGGGGGGAGGGGGCGGGTGTGTGTGGGGCGGGAGGACGAGGGGAGAGAAGGAATCGGACTGATTGCTCAAGTGCATTGTATGATGCCTTCCAGTTCCTATCTCCCCACTCTCCCTTCCTCTCTCCCCTCCCTTTTCCCTCACAACTTCCCTGCTCACCCGACTGTCATCCTTCCCCTCCCCCAATCCCACGCACCTTCCCCCTCCCCCACTCCGACACCCCCCTCTTCCCCCATGCCGCACCAAACCTGTCAGGTCGATGCAGGTTTCTCTGTGTGGCGGCGCGGGCGGCAGTCAATCCAGTTCGCCGCCCAGTGGCTCGGGTACATGGAGGACCCGCGCGTGTCAACGGACCTGCCGAACCAGCTGGGTCGGCCGAACCACGCGTGCTTCATGGACCACCGGCACGACCAGTCCGCGCTGGGGCTGCTGGCGAAGCGATGGGGGCTGCACATGTGGCCGCATGATGTGGTGGAGGAGGTTATCAGCCACCACTGGAACAAGGAGTGACTTGCTTGCAAGTGCTGCACGGGAGTGGCATTCACAATTCGCTGGGACTGCTGGTCAGTAGATGGGGTCTGCACATGTGGCAGCGTAATGTCGCGGAGGCGGTGTTATTGGGGTGACTTGTCAAGTCACCACTGGAAGAAGGAGTGACTTGCACATGTTATTGGGGTGGCACTCACATATCACGGGGGCTGCTGGCGAGGTGCTGTTGTGGAGGCGATTAGCAGCCACCACTGGAACAAGGAGAGACGGTTGAGTTTTTGCTGCGGTTGCTGGCGAAACGATGGGGGCTGCACATGCGGTGATCGGTCGGTCACCACTGGAACAAGGAGTGGCGGTTGGTCGGTCGGTCACCACTGGAACAAGGAGTGGCGGTTGGTCGGTCGGTCACCACTGGAACAAGGAGTGGCGGTTGGTCGGTCGGTCACCACTGGAACAAGGAGTGGCGGTTGGTCGGTCGGTCACCACTGGAACAAGGAGTGGCGGTTGGTCGGTCGGTCACCACTGGAACAAGGAGTGGCGGTTGGTCGGTCGGTCACCACTGGAACAAGGAGTGGCGGTTGGTCGGTCGGTCACCACTGGAACAAGGAGTGGCGGTTGGTCGGTCGGTCACCACTGGAACAAGGAGTGGCGGTTGGTCGGTCGGTCACCACTGGAACAAGGAGTGGCTTGCACGTGCTGTAGGGAAGTGACTCTCGCATGGGGGCTGCACAGGCGGTTATCAGCCACCACTGGAACAAGGAGTGACGGTTGAATCATTGGTTCAACCTGAAAGTTGCTGTGCTGCGGTTGTTGGTCGAGAGATGGGGCCTGCGCATGTGGCAGCATGATGCTGTGGAGACGGTTATCCATGTGTATGAAGCAGTGTTTTCAGACATCTCAAAACACTACTTCATACACACACCTCCCTCCCTTCACAGCAGGCGTGTTTGAGTCACACGTCAACATGCATGGTCGCAGCCTGCCCATTCGCCTCTTCCGCTCGTACGACACGGGCCTGCCAGAGACAATGTTCGCTGCACTGGAAGGGATGGTTGCCCAGGGAGGAATGGAGAACATTCGATACAAGACGCGGTCGACCTATAGCATCTGGGTACTTACTGCCTATAGGCTTATCGTTCTTCTACTCCTGAACTCCCTCACTCCCTCTTTCGCCCTTCACCCCTCCCTCTCCCTCCTTGCAACCTCAAAAAGGTTGGCGAACGCTCGTCATCCATCAGTCTCTTACACTTTAACCATCGAGTGTAGCTTCATGTTGCAGAGCTTTTTATCTCCCATTCGCCAACCTTTTTGTCTCCCGTTTCTTACACTTTGTCAAGCACTCTCCCGTTTCTTACACTTTGTCAAGCACTCTCCCGTTTCTTACACTTTGTCAAGCACTCTCCCGCTTCTTACACTTTGTCAAGCACTCTCCCGTTTCTTACACTTTGTCAAGCACTCTCCCGTTTCTTACACTTTGTCAAGCACTCTCCCGTTTCTTACACTTTGTCAAGCACCACCAGAGTTGTGCTTTGCATACCAGGATGTTTGAGGCTTTGACATATGCACCACCAGAGTTGTGCTTTGAGGCTGCACATAGTATCATGCTCCTCGAAAGTGCAATCTCTTTTCCTCTATGCCACCGTTTTGCAACAGGTAACAGACACGGATACGGATATCGAGTATAAGTTAATCTGCGTGCCGAATCCCGACAACTCCGGAATTATCCTCACTAGAGCCATTGACGTCGCTCGACCCACCAGAGCCATTGACTTTCGCCTCATGCTGGTGAAATCCAGGCTCTTCTCCCTCGATGTAAGTGTGAGACACCATGTGCTTTTGCCACAGTCTGTGTGCCACATGTGTGCGTGTGTATCACTTTTGCGTGTGGTGACTCACAGTGAGTGTGGTGACTGCCCGTGCGTGTCTGTGAGTTGTGCATGTGATATGTGTGCGAGAACGCATTTTTTACTTGACTCAGAATCTATCTCATGCCATGCATGTCCAAAGGTGGTGCATATGACATGTAGCATCACTGTTGCATCCCGTCTCCTCACACCCGTCTTCCTCCTCACATCACTTCCCCCCTCCTCCTCACTTCACAGCCCCCTGTGAGTGCATAACATCGACAGCAGTCGATCAATCCCCCCTCACCTCTTCCTCCTTCTCTCTCTCCCTTCCCTCTATCCCCCTTCTATCCATCAGGACGCCACTCGATCTGCCTGTGAGCTCATAGCATCCACAGCTGTCATCAACACAGCATCAATCTCAATGGCCAGACACCCCCACTGGCTTCGATCTTACCCACCTCTTCCGCTCCCCTTCCTTCTCCTCCTCCTCCACAATACCGGCATCAACAGCAGCAGCAGCCACCACTCCCCCACCTGTTCCTCCCTTCTCCACTTCACAATCGCCCTCATCGTCGTCACCATCGCCACCCGGGTCAAGTTCTGAAGCGCCTCAAGACTCCCACTCACCCTCATTGGCTTCATCACCATCCACTCGATTCAGAGTCATGGGCGTGCACCGTCTGGACAAGACCCGGGCGGAGTCGGGCGGACGTTTGTGGAAGCTCGCTCGGATAAACGGGCTGGTGCCAGGGCAGGTTGGGAGCAGCCTGAAGCATCAGATTGACCTTTGCCCCATCGCATGGCGGGAAACAACCAAGGTGGAATGGTTGATTTAAACTCTTAGCTGCAAGGCCCTTCATACTCTTGAGCTGGTACCTGCTAGGTGTCTTTTACTGCAAATGAGTTTCCTGATTCATTTCCCCCCCTCTCGTCGTTGGCCTGTGTTGTTTGAATGCAGGGTTATGTTGCTTTGACTCAAGCTTGCAGGAGGCAGCACCACAGTGGACTCCAGCCAGCATTCTGGCTGATTGCCCCGCCATCATCAACTGGCTGCAGCAACACCTGAACTGTGGCTGCATCAATACTTGCCTTGATATTTGGTGGATGTGAGTTTGTGCTAATGCAATGTGGTACTGTAAACGCTACGAGGGCGTAGGATGAGGTAAGTGTGCTTCAGTGCATTAATGTCGAGACCCATTGCAATTCACATGTTTTGTTTTATTTTTATTTCTCCGTTGGGTGAAATGCTGAACGATCTTGTGCATGTATCACATTGATGATGCATGTTCCACATTGATGCATGATGCATCTTGTGCATCTAGCGTGTACGGTTGATGCTCCATCCGCATTCCCACATTCCCTCACCCCATCATTCCCTCATTCAGGCATCACTGCACCACAGCAATCCCTCATTCAGGCATTCACGCATCCCCTCATTCAGGCATTCCCGCATTCCCCCATGCAGGCATCACCGCTTTCCCTCATTCAGGCATCACCGCATTCCCCCATTCAGGCATCACTGCATTTCCTCATTCAGGCATCACCGCATTTCCTCATTCAGGCATCACCGCATTTCCTCATTCAGGCATCACCACATTCCCTCATTCAGGCATTCCCGCACCACCGCAATTCTGGCATTCCCGCATTCCCCCATTCAGGCATCACCTCATTCCCTCATTCAGGCATCACCGCTTTCCCTCATTCAGGCATCACCGCATTTACTCATTCAGGCATCACCGCATTCCCTCATTCAGGCATTCCCGCATTCCCTCATTCAGGCATCACCTCATTCCCTCTTTCGGGCACCACAGCAATCCCTCATTCAGGCATTCCCGCATCCCCTCATTCAGGCATTCCTGCATTCCCTCATTCTGGCATTCCCGCATTCCCTCATTCAGGCATTCCCGCATTCCCTCATTCAGGCATCACCGCATTTCCTCATTCTGGCATTCCCGCATTCCCTCATTCAGGCATCACCGCATTTCCTCATTCTGGCATTCCCGCATTCCCTCATTCAGGCATCACCGCATTTCCTCATTCTGGCATTCCCGCATTCCCTCATTCAGGCATCACCGCGTTCCCTTTTCAGGCGTCACTGCAGCATTCCCTCAGTCATCAGGCATCACGCAATTCCTTGTTCAGGCATATCCATCATGCAATCATACCCCATCTAAGCTCTTCGTTAAAAAACAATAACCAGGTTCAACGTGTTGGTATGACTTGGAGGACGCATGTTTGCATGAGTTACAGCACGCACGCTGGCATGAGTTACAGCACGCACGTTGGCATGAGTTACAGCACGCACGTTGGCATGAGTTACAGCATGCATGTTTGCATGAGTTACAGCATGCTCTCCCTGACTCATTCCCTCACTCCCCCGCCTCTTTCCCTCATTCCCTCACTCACATGGCAGGCTGAGCAAGGAGGCAGAGGAGGAATCGCCAGCAAGGCAGCAGAGGTGGAGGCAGCAGAAAAGGCATCTAAGACGAGAAGAACCGGTGCATGAGTAGCGAGAATCAACTGCTGCCATTTCACAGGCTGTTCTGACAGAAGAGAAGAGAGAGTTGGCCACCGTGGGGCAGAGGGGTGAGGTGGATGGAAGCACTGGCGCACGAAGCAGCGGGGGAAGACGGGCAAGTCCGGTGCCAGCAGCCGCAGTGCACGGAGCAGCAGGGAAAGTTGGGCGTGAATCAGAAGTAGCAGCTGCTGGCAGTATTCCACAAACTGTTGCTTTGCGACAAGCTGGGTTCATGACCTCCGGAATGATTGCAAACTCGTGCCTAGAATGATTGAACTCCTTGCCAGGCTTCGTGTGACAAGCATGTCTCTAGTTTGGCTGTGAAAAGGCATTATTGAGATGCACTCATACCTGTTGTACCCTAGAAGAAGTCCTCCCATCTAAAACTAGTCCCTCAGATCAGAAGTCCTTACCCCTAGAACTAGCCACTCAGAAGAGAAGTCCTCCCTCCCTCACATCAGAAGTCCTCCCCCCTAGAAGAAGTGCACATGAGTATGGTATTGAATTGCATTTTTAGTCCCAAGAAGTTTACAGCTCAATTGCTTCACTAGTCCCCTAGAAGTCTTCCACCCTAAAACTTTTCCCCCTAAAAGTTTTTCCCCTAGAACTTTTGCCCAAGGAGTTTTTCCCCTATAACTTTTCCCCTATAATATTTGACCATTGCACCATCCACCACCCCACCAGAGAAAGACTCAACTTCTCCATCCAGCTAACCACCTTTCACCACCATCTTTCTCCCTTCACTTCCCCATCATCCAGCCACCAGCTTTCACCGTCTTTCTACCCTCCACTTCTCCATCATCCAGCCACCAGCTTTCACCGTCTGTCTACCCTCCACTTCTCCATCATCCAGCCACCAGCTTTCACCGTCTTTCTACCCTCCACTTCTCCATCATCCAACCACCAGCTTTCACCGTCTTTCTACCCTTCACTTCTCCATCATCCAGCAACCAGCTTTCACCGTTTTTCTGCCCTTCACTTCTCCATTACCCAGCCACTTGATTTTTTTTTTTTTTTTTTTTTTTTTGGGCTTCACCATCAGAGCCAGGGATAAAAATCCGTCCCATCAGCATCTCCCGGGCGATGCTTACGGGCTGAGACCCGGAGGCGTTACGGGTACTGCCGTATAACTCGGGTACTGCCGTATAACTCGGGTACTGCCGTATAACTCGGGTACTGCCGTATAACTCGGGTACTGCCGTATAACTCGTGTACTGCCGTATAACTCGGGTACTGCCGTATAACTCGGGTACTGCCGTATAACTCGGGTACTGCCGTATAACTCGGGTACTGCCGTATAACTCGGGTACTGCCGTATAACTCGGGTACTGCCGTATAACTCGGGTACTGCCGTATAACTCGGGTACTGCCGTATAACTCGGGTACTGCCGTATAACTCGGGTACTGCCGTATAACTCGGGTACTGCCGTATAACTCGGGTACTGCCGTATAACTCGGGTACTGCCGTATAACTCGGGTACTGCCGTATAACTCGGGTACTGCCGTATAACTCGGGTACTGCCGTATAACTCGGGTACTGCCGTATAACTCGGGTACTGCCGTATAACTCGGGTACTGCCGTATAACTCGGGTACTGCCGTATAACTCGGGTACTGCCGTATAACTCGGGTACTGCCGTATAACTCGGGTACTGCCGTATAACTCGGGTACTGCCGTATAACTCGGGTACTGCCGTATAACTCGGGTACTACCGTATAACTCGGGTGAAAATCCCTTCCGACGTAGAGCAAGCCACACCCATCCCAGTGTGGACCAACATTGCGCTTGCTCTAGCCGCACCCACCCCGGTGCGGTCTTCCCCTTAGTTGCTGAGGTCTAACCACACCCACCCCAGTGTGGCAAGCCTAGGAGACTGAGAACCCTCCACACCCACCCCGGTGTGAGAAAGCCTTCAAGTGACCGAGACAGAACCCCCCACACCCACCCCAGTGTGGGAAAGCTCTTATGTGGAAAGAGGAGATTTCTCCACACCCACCCCGGTGTGGACTACTCTCTCTCTCTGAAGTGGCTGAGAGCCTCACACCCACCCCAGTGTGATCAGGCCTCATGAGAGCACAAGCCCTTCACACCCGCCCCGGTGTGATACTGACTTGAAGAGAACGTCACCCACTCCAGCAGTGATGCTACCTGGCCATCCGGGTGCCCATAACGCTTTGAAGGCCTGAACCTCCCTCCAATGTACAGACGCCGGCCGGCCGACTGCACACCGTCAGGGCTCCAAAAGCGTCCCGGCCCGGTTGCTCATCACATCACCACTGGAGCAGGCTCCGCCCTCTGCCCCCCACACCCTCCCCAGTGTGGGAAATCACCCTCGCATGCTGTCTCATGCTTGCCACTCCAAGGCCCCATCAAGCCTTGGCCACGTCTCAGCCACAGCTCAGCCCCCTCCTGGTCGAGGCACCCAGGCAGCCCCCTTGCGCGGCAGAATCCTGCACAGGACCAACACAACAAGTCAGTATACTGAAAAGAACAAAGGAAAACAAAATTTGAGACAGCGCAAGGAGACAGCTTGCAAAAAGACAGCTTGCAAGAAGACAACTTACTTTGTGGGTTGCAGCTTGAAAGTCGCAGCGCCGTGCAGCTCCTCCCATGCCGTGCCAATCCATGCCATGCCATGCCATGCCATGCCATTCCATACCATTCCATACCATTCCATACCATTCTATTCCATTCCATGCCATGCCATGCCATGTCAAGCCAAGCCATCCCACGCCATGCCATGCCACTCCTCCCTGCACAAGACGAAACACCAAGTCAATATAGTGGAACAGAAATGGCTGGGAAAACAAAACTTGAAGCAAGCTCGAGACAGCGCAAGGAGACTGCTTACAAGGGACAGCTTCTTAAGTTGCAGCGCCTCCCAGCAGCTCCTCACAGCAGCTCCTCCCAGCAGCTCCTCTCATCAGCTCCTCTCAGCAGCTCCTCCATTCAGCTTCAGCGGCGCATTCCCAAAGGAAGCACTTCAGTTTCCTGCACAGAGCCACGAAACTGAGTTAAAAAATAAGAAGTTTTATTTATCAAACCAAGGTAATTGAAGACAATAGCAAGCATCAAGCACGAGATTGAAGGCAATAACAAAAAGCGACAAAGGCGTGAAGATTCTTACCTTGGGATTTGCATTGTTGACTGGTGGTGGCTAGTGGGTAGGCGGATTAGAGATGGCGGAGCGCGGATGGTGGCGAAATCCCAAAGAATGCCTTTGGATCAATTATTTCCAGCAGCAAGGTTGACTTGGGTTCAACTCCAGCGGCGCCAGGTGACTTTGGTTCAACTGCAGCAGCTCCCATAGGCTTCCCTTCAACTTCAGTAGGTAACACTTCGTTTCCTGCACAGAACCACAAAGCTGAATTAGAAATCAAGCATGAAATTGAAGACAATTGCAAGCATCCACCATGAAACTGAAGGCAATAACAAAATGTGACAAGTGCGTGAAGATTCTTACCTTGGGGATTTTAATCGGGGTCTGGTGGTGGCTGGCGGGGAGGCGGAATGGCGGAAAGCGGATGGTGGCGAAATCAATGATTTCCAGCAGCAAGGTTGACTTGGCTTCAACTCCAGCGGTGCCTGGTGACTTCGGTTCAACTGCAGCAGCTCCCATAGGCTTCCCTTCAACTTCAGTAGGCAACACTTTGTTTCCTGCACAGAACCACAAAGCTGAATTAGAAATCTCATCAATACAACAATGAAGCAAGGAAATTGAAGACAATAGCAAGCATCTACCCCGAAATTGAAGGCAATAACGAAATGTGACAAGGGCGTGAAGATTCTTACCTTGGGATTTGAATCGGGGACTGGTGGTGGCTGGCGGGGAGGTGGATTGTAGATGGCGGAGTGCGGATGGTGGCGAAATCCCAAGTAATGCCTTCGGCTCGATGATTTCCAGCAGCAAGGTTGACTTGGCTTCAACTCCAGCGGTGCCTGGTGACTTCGGTTCAACTGCAGCAGCTCCCATAGGCTTCCCTTCAACTTCAGTAGGCAACACTTTGTTTCCTGCACAGAACCACAAAGCTGAATAAAAAATCTCATCAAGGCAACAGTGAAGCAAAGAAATTGAAGCAGCAGTAAGCATCAACCACGAAATTGAAGGCAATAACGAAATGTGACAAGGTCGTGAAGATTCTTACCTTGGGATTTGAATCGGGGACTGGTGATGGCTGGCGGGGAGGCGGATTGCAGATGGCGGAGGGCGGATGGTTGCAAAATCCCAAGGAATGCCTTCGGATCAATGATTTCCAGCAGCAAGGTTGACTTGGCTTCAACTCCGGCGGCGCCTGGTGACTTCGGTTCAACTGCAGCAGCTCCCTTAGGCTTCCCTTCAACTTCAGTAGGCAACAATTTGTTTCCTGCACAGCACCACAAAGCTGAATTAGAAATCTCATCAAAACAACAATGAAGCAAGGAAATTGAAGACAATAGCAAGCATCAACCACGAAATTGAAGGCAATAACGAAATGTGACAAGGGCGTGAAGATTCTTACCTTGGGATTTGAATCGGGGACTGGTGGTGGCTGGCGGGGAGGCGGATTGCAGATGGCGGAGGGCGGATGGTGGCGAAATCCCAAGGAATGCCTTCGGATCAATGATTTCCAGCAGCAAGGTTTACTTCGCTTCAACTCCAGCTGCGCCTGGTGACTTTGGTTCAACCGTAACAGCTCCCATAGGCTTCCTTTCAACTTCAGTAGGCAACACTTTGTTTCCTGCACAGAACCACAAAGCTGAATTAGAAATCTCATCAAGACAATAATGAAGCAAGGAAATTGAAGCAACAGAAAGCAACGACCACGAAATTGAAGGCAATAACGAAATGTGACAAGGGCGTGAAGATTCTCACCTTGGGATTTGAATCGGGGACTGGTGGTGGCTGGCGGGGAGGTGGATTGTAGATGGCGGAGTGCGGATGGTGGCGAAATCCCAAGGAATGCCTTCGGCTCGATGATTTCCAGCAGCAAGGCTGACTTGGCTTCAACTCCAGCGGTGCCTGGTGACTTCGGTTCAACTGCAGCAGCTCCCATAGGCTTCCCTTCAACTTCAGTAGGCAACAATTTGTTTCCTGCACAGAACCACAAAGCTGGATTAGAAATCAAGCATGAAATTGAAGACACTCGCAAGCATCAACCATGAAATTGAAGGCAATAACAAAATGTGACAAGGGCGTGAAGATTCTTACCTTGGGATTTGAATCGGGGACTGGTGGTGGCTGGCGGGGAGGCGGATTGCAGATGGCGGAGGGCGGATGGTGGCGAAATCCCAATGAATACATTCGGTTCAATGATTTCCAGCAGCAAGGTTGACTTGGCTTCAACTCCAGCGGCGCCTGGTGACTTCGGTTCAACTGCAGCAGCTCCCATAGGTTTCCTTTGAAATTCAGTAAGCACCACTTTGTTTCCTGGACAGAACCACAGAACTGAGTTAGAAATCAAGAAGTTAAAAAGCAAGTTAAGCAAAAAAACGGAATGTAAATTAGACATAAACCAACCAGGAGAATTAATCACGGTGTAACAAAGAACCTTACTATTTTATTTTGACTGTAGGTGGCGGTTGGCGGGTGGCAACTAGCGGACGGTTCGGACATCCTTCCGTTCACTCCCGTTGTTTAACTGAAGTCGCGTCACCTCGTCATGAACGTGCTCGACTTAACTGGGGGACAAGCGAAAGGACAAGAAAAAAGAGGTTACTAAACAATAAATACGGCAGCAGGAAAACGAAAACGAAACGTGAGCGAAAATCGACAAAAAAGTGAACGAGATTGCGAGTGATTGGCGGTGAAGAATGAACATCCATGATACTATGAGAGGGCCTTAACTCCCAGAGGGGGGAGATTCTATAGCTACCCAAACCCAATCTACTGCTACCCAAACCGAGGAGGATACATCTACAAGCCGCGGCCATCATAGAATCAGAGGGATGGTGCAAAGTGATAAATGAATGGCGGGTGTGTGTGAGCATATAAAAAGCAATTAACGGGAAAAAAACACAAGGAACATGCAAAAGGGAACGAGACTTCCCAGTTCCTGGTCGATTGTGACTTCCTTGAGCAAATCCGCGAGCAGATCCGCGAGCAGATCCGCGAGAAGGTCCACGTCACGCTTAGCTTGGCGGCTTTGCCATTGTGATGATGGGCGGATTCCACGAGAAAGGATTGAATCTTTGTCGTAGCTCAGTTTGTTGAGTTGCTAATCCTAGAATGAGAAAATGAGGCCAACTCTGGTGGACTCTACTGGAATCTACTACTCTACTCTGTTCAGGAACTTGTTGGAGTGGTTTCCGTGAACCACACGACTAACGACGGCTGAAAATCTGGACCGACGGCGACTTCATGGCGGTGGCGTGTGGAAGAAGCAATACGAAGGAGCTAAGAAGTATCTAAGATTACTATGCGTGTGTGCTAAGTTATGAGCTACGGGGAATGAATACGAGGAAGAAATGGGAGTGAAGGAGAAGTGACGGGAAAGGAATTGACGGGAAGGTTTGATTGGTTGGGAAGTTGAGTGTTCAACAAGGAACCCGAGGCAGTTCAACAAGTTTCTTAAATTCGGACTTGAGGAATGTTCGGTGAATTCGGTTCGGTTGCGTGTGCGACTCGGGGTGAAACGAGGCGCACGCGGTTACTTGGGAAACAAGTGAAGTTACGAATCGCATTTTGTGTCTTGCCTGACTATAAACCTGTTTGTACTCATTCTGGAAATACAACATGACAACATTGAGATTCTGAAAATTGCTGGTGTGTATTGACAACTTCAAGCAGAGCTGCGCATATCGTTGGATTCGGGAGATCGTGGAGAACACGATAGGCGATAGCAAGTAGACTATTGCCGACTAAGGTGTTTACGATCCTAAGAACTGGTATCAGAGCTTGACGAACGGGCGCGTCGATCGCGGTGAATTCACTTGGTGCGCTAAGTGAAATTAGTGAAGAAGAGGAGTCGTTCACGCCTACGCTATGGGAGACGAGGCGAGTTCGGGTTCCAGTGTGAGTCTTCGAGACCCGCAGTTGAAGACTCTTCTCGAGGCCCTTGCGAGTGGCCGATTGGTGGCGAAACCGACGATCAGGCTCAGTGAAGCTCAGCGCTTCAACGGAAGCAACTACAACGTGTGGCGGAAGAAGTTTATTCGAAGGGCAGAGGAGGTGGACCTCTTGCCGTACTACTGTCCCGACGAGGAGACGATGGAGGGAGTTGTGCCTTCCACGACGGATACGAAGGAGAAAATAGCGGCGTTTAAAAAGCAAAGTAAGCAAGCTTTCTTTCAGCTTTGTCATTCAGTTGCCGATGGAATCGCGGTGGATTTGGACCAGTTTGCAGGGGAGCTGAACTCTGCACAGAAAGCGTGGGAGTACCTGGAGTCCACGTACATGGGTACGAACGATGTCAACAAGAAGGCGATTCGGAAGCAGCTGCTGATGTTGAGCATGGAGAAAGGCGAGAAAATCATCACCTACATCAACAGGGCGAAAAGCTACAACGACGATTCGCGGGTGATGGGAGCCGCGGAGACGGAGCATGAGATGATTGACTATATCATCCAAGGCCTTCCTAAGGAGTGGGAATCCGACATCGGTATGTTTACGTACCAACCGCCGGAGAGTTTGACGAAGCTGCAGGAGATTCTGCAATCGCTTGGGACGGTGAAGGAGATGAGGAAAAAGAAAGCGGCAGCAGCAGCTAATGAATTCGAAGAGGAGAGGCCGGGTATGGTAAATGCAACGAAGGCGTTTGGAGCGTGCTACCAGTGTGGAAAGAGGGGGCATAAGGCGATAAACTGCTACGAAAATCCACGAAGCAGAAACTACAAGGGTAAAGCGGTGGAGAACGACGAAGGAGAAAATGGGGGAGCGGAGTGGCAGCAGAAACGAGGCTTCAGCGGCAAGTGCGACTATTGTGGGCGCTACGGACATCGTGCCGTAGAGTGCTACTCCAATCCGAACAGCAGGAGCTACAAGGGTCCGTCGCAGCAGAGGAGTGTGGCGGCAAAGGCGAATGTAGCGGAAGCGGAAAAGGAGGATGTGATTTTGGGAGGAGCGCATCTTGCGAACGTGGGAGTCGAGTGAGGATTATATACTGCAAGGTAACAGTGGGAAGTTACCAGTGACAGGAGAGGGTGACGTGGTGCTGCAGAGTCCGTATGGAGAGGTGAAACTTGAGAACGTGCTGTTGGTTGAGGATTAAAAGGTGAATTTGGTAAGTCAGTCACAGCTTGATGACTTGGGGTGCAAGATATTTTACGACAGTGGCAAGGTTTTTGTGTTTGGTTCTGAGTGGGAGAGATACGCGGATGGTGTTTTCAATGATGGGTTCTACGAGATGAACCTCATAGCATGCAACGACATGGATTCAGTTTATGAGGATGATGAGTTCTATAAGGTGGAAGTGAAGGGGAGTTCATTCCTTGAGGTTGGTGAGGTTGATGACAAGGGAGATGTGACTTCTTGTGTGAAGAAGGATGTGGAGGATGTGTTGATCAAGGAGAAGGATGTGCGTGTGGAGAAAACGGTGAAGCCAAATGAGGTAACTCGTGTCAACAACGCAGCAACGTTCATCATCGAAGACGTTCATCATCGAAGACGGAGCTGTGTGCAAGGAGAATGAAAGGAGTTGAAGCTGAAAAAGGAAGCTATGTGGTGAAGGCAATGGTGGAAAACGCAGCTACAACGGAGGGACTACTCAAGGAGGGAGCTCGAGTTGGTGGCAACAACGTTCAGAAAGTGTATGATGTGAAGCGGCCAAGGAGGAGTGCAAGGCTCCAGAGCATTTATCGCGGACTCGACGTCAAAGCAGACAATCTCAAGACACGTAAGCAGCGCTTTAAGATGCAGGAGCTGCAGGGGAGCGTGAATCTCACTTAGTCATCATGAGGACTACAAAGGAGCAGGGGAGATACGGGTGGAGGTGTGGTTCACGAAACCACAGGGGAGGTTGTTGGAGTGGTTTCCGTGAACCACACCAACGACGGCAGGCGGACTAACGACGGCTGAAAATCTGGACCGACGGCGACTTCATGGCGGTGGCGTGTGGAAGAAGCAATACGAAGGAGCTAAGAAGTATCTAAGATTACTATGCGTGTGTGCTAAGTTATGAGCTACGGGGAATGAATACGAGGAAGAAATGGGAGTGAAGGAGAAGTGACGGGAAAGGAATTGACAGGAAGGTTTGATTGGTTGGGAAGTTGAGTGTTCAACAAGGAACCCGAGGCATGTTCAACAAGTTTCTGAAATTCGGACTTGAGGAATGTTCGGTGAATTCGGTTCGGTTGCGTGTGCGACTCGGGGTGAAACGAGGCGCACGCGGTTACTTGGGAAACAAGTGAAGTTACGAATCGCATTTTGTGTCTTGCCTGACTATAAACCTGTTTGTACTCATTCTGGAAATACAACATGACAACATTGAGATTCTGAAAATTGCTGGTGTGTATTGACAACTTCAAGCAGAGCTGCGCATATCGTTGGATTCGGGAGATCGTGGAGAACACGATAGGCGATAGCAAGTAGACTATTGCCGACTAAGGTGTTTACGATCCTAAGAGAACTTGGATGGATGAAGGGGTCACGTCTCTGGCAAATCGGCGGAGGTTCGGATCCTTTCCGGTTCTTCTTTGCCGCGCTTTGATCAGATTGGAACGCAGCAACCGAGCTGCTTCCTCGGCCGGTCGATTCTCATGCTTCCTTCAGCTTTGGGGAAAAAAATGTTGTGGAGGATAGAGGTTCGGGGAATTGCAGCGTTGCGCATCGACCGAAATATGGAATCCGCGCTAACCTCTGCCATGTGAGCCGCTAGTCAGTTTTTGTTGGAGGTTGCGTGGGGCTAGGTTTTGCCCCCAACCACCGAACGGTGCTGCTTTTGCTTCTCACCTTCGAGTGAGCTGCAGGTTGGCGTGGGGCTGAAGATTGACTTCGGAAGACTCAACCAATTCGGTGCCACATGGCAGCACCAGAAAGTTCGAGACTTGAAGGAACATTCGGATGAGTGAAATTCGAGTGTCGAATTTCACCACTTCGAAATGTTACGAGAACATTCGCGAAGTGTAGCGATGCGATGTTACGAACGCGGTTGATGTTGATTGCATGATATAAAACTAGTTGCTTTGTATGCATGTTTCATACTGAAAATCAGAGTTTTCTATACACAGTTCAACTCGACACAAAATCCAGAGACTTTCTATCCTTCAATCTTAGAGCACTACCTAGCACGTTGAAAGCCGTATCTCAGCCGATACTTGGGCGAATTACGTGTTCTACGGCTCCTTGGAAAGCCAAGAGTGTGCTCTACTGCTTAGAACAATTCCTAGTTCCTGCCAACTAGAGGACACGCCTTTACATCAGTGGTATCAGAGGTGGTCGGAGGAGTCTACGCGCGCGACAAGGAGCAAGCATGATGACGTCAAGCGAAGCCT